ATGACGCTAACAAGAGACAGAAACGGATGGAAAAGTGCTGTGGCCTGCACGACAAGTGAAGATAGGCCATCTAAGTACCTAAGTAAGTAGTACATACATTGAATGCAACCCCAAACACAGAGCCTATTTCGTATTCTTAGATCAATTTTACTCAGTTTAAAGTTCTCTTCTAAGATTTCTCGCTTTTGGGAGCACCAAAAACCAAATATCGAAAATACGGAACAACCTTGGCAATTTGACCCTTGCTGTAGAACTTATGCAACATCTTCCACTCGCAGCATTTAATGATCGGCAACTGTAGCCTGACAAACACGTATCCTTGTCTTCCCTGCAGTCCTGAAATTAACAGAATAGCGCCATTATTCAGAAGCTGCCAAGTCGTTTGCACTCACACTGTACTCCTGTGTCTCACAAAGAAGCCAAAGATTCTTTGGCATTGGCCTTTTTTCGGCTTCTCTTTCTTCGAGAATTGCGATCATCTTCGCGAGTCTGCTTTCTTCGGTGGTAGTAGTAGTTAGAGTGGAAGGCGTGACAACTTGAAGTGAATGGGAATTTAGTGATTGCCCTTAAATTGTAATTTTGGTTGTTGAAAGAATGCGGAAGCATGCAAACTGCTTTAATGTTATCTTAAGGAGCAACTATTACATATATAAAAGTACATATTGTTGCTTATGGTAAAATCTGTACGAGCCCTCACTGCAGTGCTACGATTATAGGAAAGATCAAAACCCTGAGCTCCCTGAAAAATAACCCTCCTGCAGTTTGCGACATGCCGACTACGATTCCTGGCAAAACCATTTCGCAGTAAAGAAATAAAATCATCCAAGTTTTCCTTTTCATGCAATAGTAGTTTCCCTTTCATCGTATACTTATCCTAATGTTAGGGTAGGGGTTTGTTGCGCAATACAGATATGATTCATTTCAATTAACAACAGTAGATACTTTTCAGGCAGATCTGTGGTGACTGGACAGCGTACATTTACTGTTCCCATTAATGAGAAGGATATGATTTTTGTAATCAACGTATACATTTATACTTATAGCTGACGCTGAAGCAGATCGCGAGTCCGCGTTCTAAAAGATTAAGCTGCTGCTGCTTTTTGAATTTTCTATTTTAAGCACTTCTAGTTCAAAAAACAGAAGTTGTGGATGAACTGAAACAG